AAAAATACAATAAATAATGATACTACTTTATGTATTTAAATATGATGTTTTTACTGCTCCGAATCGTTCAGTTCTTAATGTGCCAATCAATGGAACAGCACAGTATTGATTCCAGAAACACCTTATTAAACTTGTTGTTTACTTCGGTATAATATATATTACAATCTAACAATAAATATGCTAATGCTTTTCTAGGTACTGCCTTGTACGAGATCATCGAATCATTTAAGATATTAACCAGGTATTAAGATGTTGAATTCTGAATTAAGAAAAAGATAGCAAAATTTTTTCATCTGGAAGGAAGAAGAATAATATTATCGAGATTATTTGAAGATTGATTGATATCTAGAACAAAAATGAGCAAGAACTTTTTCCTTCTTCCAAATATATGAAAGTATATATGTGAAAACATAACAAGCACAACTTAGCTGTTATATCAATACCTGATTAGTAGTTATCTATAATAAACATATTTTCTAGCTTCATTTAGTAAAACAAATGGTTTCTATGCGTTTCAGATAGTTAATATCGTGCAAAGTACAGTATTTATGGAGTGCTTCTCGACTCACACATCGAAAGGTTTTTTATAATTCCTGCCATGATGTCTCGATGACGAAAAATTAGAAAATACTCACCTAAACTACGAAAATGAAATTTCATGATGGAATGACTAACATGTGTTTTGTGATCTTCAATCACAGGTTCGATGATTTTACAGAAAATTACGACAAAATAGAAATGTTTCCTGGCTTTATTTTTTTCAAATTTCAAGATAATTAAAACTATAACAGCAGAAAAAAAGTAGTCGCCACTTTTTGTGCTGATATCTAACTAGGAATAAGCATTAATCGAAAGTATTAATTAGATGAATGTTAACATGTGTCAATAATCTTCTCTTAGTAATGAATTTCACAGAAGTTACTTTACAAATTGTTTGTGACTTCGATGAAGTGATTGATTGAAACGTAAATTTTCAAATTCATGGTGACCGAAAAAAGATGTTAATACAAGTGAAAAGTAAAACTCATTTGAAGAAAAACGATTGGCAATCAATTGTATGAACGATTGTTCGTCTTTTAGAGGATATCACATTTTTACGATGATTAACGTTTGAAACTTCATACCCCATATTGCTTTCAAGTGAAACTCGAATACAATCTAGTCTTTTTTTATCGATCATAATTGAAACAAAATATATACTTCATTCATCGGTCTACGCTATACAAGTGTATCCAAGCATATATATGATTGACGACAAATTGAATAAACAATCTGGAGACGTATTCATTGATGTATACCTTTTTTTGTCATGCTCTATCGCAATTACTTGGTAGCATGCAATATTGATGTATAAAACGTGTAGTATATTATATAGTGGTAGGTGATTGTATCTTTTATTAGACAACGGGGAAAAAAGAAGGATGTTTTTTAATGAAAAAAAAAATCGTTCTGTATAATTTTTTTAAGTGCTCGGTTTTTTTTAGTTTATTAGATGAACGATAAATTATAGGTGTTGATTGAATAAATACGATTATCAAACTAACACAAAAAATATGTTAATTCGATCTAGATCTTTCAATAAAAAAATTGTATTTTTATTGAGAACATTTATTCTTGCTGGTCTATTATTATTAATAAGTACTTCGTTTTGGCAATATCAATATATAATAAACTCAACCAATATCATTATACAAAACCAATCGCCCTTAACAATAAAAACACAATTAGTACATGTTAAAAAGAAAATTATCGTTCCATTAAAGCTTCCTTCAATACGTTGTATTGTATTTGCACGTTTTCGTACAGGTCGTTTTGGTAATCGAATGTTTACCATGGCTACTGCTTATGCTCTTGCACGCCTTCACTCTTGCCATTTGTTCTTTTCACCAATAATGTTACAAGAAATAAGATCTATTTTTGTTTTTACTCTTCCACCTATTCTTTTATCTATACCTATGTTCAAAATGGTATTGAAAAATAGTTCTCATCCAATGAAAAAAATTACTAGAGATATTATTTGTCAATATCTTCCTGAATTGACATATCCAAATGCGATAGGAGAAGGATCTATATTCGAAGTCAAAGGTCATTGGCAATCATATTTACATTTTGATAAATATCGTGATGAATTGCGAAATCATCTTTTCGTTGCAAGACAATCATTACTTGAGAAAGTCTCGAAATTATTCAGTAATATTTATGAGCAAAAGTTTCATTTCAAACCTCAATTCTCATTAGAAAATCATCAATTATTTAAAAAACAACTAACCCAATCAAACTGGACAACATGGATTGGAATTCATATACGTCGTGACGACTTTGTTCCTTTGAATTTTTCTTCATCCGATGAATATTTATTTGCTGCTATTGATTATTACATGAGACGCTATCCAAATGCTCATTTTATAGTTGCAAGTGATGATAAATCATATTGTAAAAATCTATTTCGTCATAGGTCGAATATTATTGTTACGCCAAAATCATTTTCTATGGGTGACGATTTAATAGCACTTTCACTTTGTGAACATTCAATCATAACAGGTGGAACATTTGGATGGTGGACAGGTTATCTAGCTAGTGGTGAAGTGATCCATGATACAATGTATATTTCTGGATGTGAAAAAGATGAACATTACTATCCACCATGGTTTAAAACCCATCTAAATCTACGAAAAGATAAAAATATTTTATAATGAAAAAGAAAAGGAAAATCTACGCATGATTGACATCACGATTTTTCATGTTTTTGTAATTATATATAGGTATACGTACGTATATTGCAAAAATTACATTATAAAAAAAAATAGGATAAATGATAGCATTGATAACTATACAATCAGAATAACTTATTAGGAATACTTAGCATCGACCATAACTTCTAATACTATTAATTAAAAAAGTACAAAATTACACATATATTCTTATCTGTATTTTTTTTAAATGTTGAAGAATGTTCTTATGAATATTTTATATGAAGTCGATACTTTTCCCATAATCCGTCTGAATCTTTTTTCGAATTTTCTTCTGCTATAATTTTAACTACTTTGGTAACTGAATGAGCAGTTCAATTTTTTGAAACAGTCGAACTATCTCCGATATATTTCCCTCTGCCAAGACTTCATCCTATCAGGTTTAGCGAATACGATGGATAGAATATTGTATTAATTCCTTATTTTAATACATACTTGATAACATTGGATAAGTATGAAGTCAAAGTGATTGTTGAATATTTTGATATTTTTTGCTTGCGATATCTCTATTTTAATTTATACTGCGTTTGTATTTGTTGACATTTTGTACTAACGATCTATAGGAAATTCCTTGTTGTGTGACCTGTAACAATATTGTATGATCATCATAATTCATTAGGAAATGTAACGAAATTCTTAATGATAAGTTTCAGATGATTTCTATTCATATTTATCATTGAGTTGATAAATTCTCTAACGTGATGTACGTTTTCTCATGCTTAAAAGCTGGAAAATAGTTTGTTTTATTGTACCAGGATAGAGAAAGAAATTTTATTAAAGACATCTTGTGTTTCCGTATGAAACCTAAAGCAGAATAATTATATCTATGTGATATGCTTTTTTGACACTATCATCGATATACGAGGATATCTATAGGTACTGATGAGTTAGTATGTACTATTCAATAAAAAACAGGGTTCTGCATAAAGTAACTATTCAATTCTATCGATCACCGACTAGAAACAAGCATAAAAAAATCTATGAAAACTATTTTTAGATAATATGAATTTTCTGTGAAGTAAATCTTTGGAACTCTAAGAATTGTTGCGTATGTCTGCTGAGATTATCAATGTATTGATGCTGCCAAAGAAGAGAAGGAAATCATAGGCACACACATCAGCTAAAATGAATCAGAACTGATTTGATAAATAGCTAACTAGTGACGATCACCATATGCATATAGTTTTGCTGATGTTGGCAAAATTTGTCAGTAAATATGTCTGCTTTAAATACATGAGTCTTGTGACTATGTAAAAGAGCAGCAAGGTAAATGAGGAGAAGATTTTGTCGGCTAAGAATTTCAAACAACCTTTCACGTTTTTCGGAATGAATATCGAATGCAGAAATTACTAAAACTATCAATAAAATATCATTAATAATTCAATTAATCCTAAAAATAAAGAAACAACTACAACCGAAAAGAAAGCTGTGATTGACTTTACCAATAATTATAGTAGATTGTACCATTTCTATTGGAATGCAAAAACGTCTCTTCATGAAGCATCAGAAGTTGTATAGTGGTGAATGCTTTCTCTTATAGTTACTTGATCAACCAAACTTAGAAAGTATGGCATTTACTTCTTTTGTAACAGTCTAAACAGAGGTGAAACTTTTCATAATGAAACGAGAAACTGTTCATTTGTCTTCAAGTTTATGTTGTTGTCATTGATGTTATAGAGAACAAGATGAATGACCTAGAACTAGCTAAGATTTTTTCGAATAAAATAGCAGTATAAATACTCTCTTGCGAAATATCAAGTTTGACATATATCGTAACAGAGTTTCAATTACCAACTTCGATGCTCTGGATAATTTCAGTTTTTTTCATGATTCTCATTCGCACATAAAAAGTCAATTATTTCTAGTTTCGATCGAAGCATGATCGATTTATAGTTGCTTCTTTCACAACATGAAGATTTAGAGATTAATTTTAACTTTGTTAGTCGACAAGTTTCGCAAATTCAATGAAAAAGAACAACTTAATCTTGAATGTTTCGATAGATTCATGATCAAAGTTGCTGAAAATATCGATTCTTTTTTATTTTGCAATGTAAACTGTCTGAGTCAGTTTCGATCGAATTCTTTGACATTTCAATAGATAAGACAATCTCGACAATTTTGTTGTTGATTGTTATTAGAAATAGATTGTCACGAGAAAAATGTTCCTTACTAACAATCGTTTTGATGATATATTTTTCTTTGGTCAGTGAAAAACCCCTGCATAGGCTAGTTTGGATTTTGCTATGATCGGATTTCGACTAATTTGAAGTCCACTATGACATCGATATTGACCATTTTTGATGATATATATATCTACATGGAAATAGGGTTGAAGTTTTATTTCAATAATTCTATCATTACTGATTTCTCAAGGTATCGTTTCAACAGACGAATATTCGTGTATTCTCATCAGAGAAAACATTTTTCTGAATAATTGTTAATCTCACAAGATTGGTCTGATCCACTCAAGTATATCTGCTGATTGAACTTCTCGACTTCAAAACAGACAGATTCAACTGAAACTTTCATGAAATCCGATCTGATTGGTATTAATCTATTTCTCTCTCTCTCTCTCTCTGATTTGAAGAATCGATTCAAAAATAGACAACAAATTTTTCATCTCTTTGAATAAATCTTTATCGATTGACTCAACAAGTGTTATTTCTGATCGAGAATCGAATCATTCATTCAAACTAAGAAAATGATTGACGATCGATAGGATGGCTTAATCCATAAATTTAAAGATGATCTCTTGTTTTTTTAGGTGTTTTTTGATCATTTTCAATTGTAACTGCATGATTGATGCCAAATGAGATTTATGAAGAGGTGTAAAGAACACAATCTTATTCAAACGAAGCAGAAATATCAGATGAAAAAACATGAAAGTTAATATGAATGAGTCAACAAAACTCTTTTGATCAATGCAAAATGATCGATCGAAAGGCAAAATCGTCGGTTTTTTTCATCACTTGGTCTTTCGCAATTTTTTTTCGACTACTTCGAGAATTTGTACAGCTACCATATTCAGTTAGAATTCGTTTATTTTTCGAGAGAATTACTACTTATCAAAGAAAACAGATATGAAGATTCAATTAGAGACGAACCACATGCTGTATCTTCATCAGAGCAGAGGAAGACAGTCAAAAACATTCACTTGAATTTTTCGAAAGAAAGACATCAACCACTTATTTCTACATCTTGATCAGAGTTTGAAAAAATATTCAAAAATGAAAACGAAAGTTGTTTTTTTTCTGTATCCAATCTTGATAGATAAATATCTTTTTTTGCATGGGAAAAAAAATCAAATTTCATTGATGCATAACTGTGATGTCAGTTCCCTTTTGCTGTCTCCGTCATATGATTCATGTTTATGTTATTAAATGCAATGATTTCGGATGAATAACTTCAACAAATTACCATATACATTACTTTTGACTTATGAATTTGTATTTGACTTGTGTAGAATGCAAAAGTTCTTTCATTCGTATATAAGGTGGTGGCGTTGTAATAACTTTTTATATTGGCAACACTCTCTATCTATACAGGTTACGTTCTACATTAACATTACTTAACTTATATTGATAAAACATTTCATAATGTCAATAGCACCATGGTATTGTGATGGTTGTGGTCGAATGAATGGTCCAGTTCGATATCAATGTGAACAATGTCGAGGATTCAATACTTATGATTTGTGTGATCAATGCATTGTACGCGCGCAAGCACTTCATCCAAATCACTCATTTAAATTGATACCACAAGCTTTAACTAGTATACCCGTCATCAATACAATGTTACCATACTACTACTCATGGGAAACGATTAGTTATCCACAAGCAGTGTGGTCACCATATGTTCCATTAATGAAACCGACAGTGAGAGTATCCTACGAATATTCAACTTAACAAAATTTAAGATTCTTTTCTAATATGAATTCATCTTAAATTTTTCAATAAATATGAATGTAAAACCTCGATGAAAATCGATCCATTTGAAAAGCACTATTGACAGATAAAAGATATTGTTATCATTACATATAAACGTTCCACAATAAACTATTTGAAAAAATAAGCACATAAATATTTGCCATTTTAAAATCTTGTATTTATAGAGACAGAATAAGAATAAAACTATTTGCAATAAAAATATAACTATCAAAACAGTAGTCGAATTTCATTTCACAAAACCAATTCAAATTGATAGGTAAAGCAACTCAAAAGAAATTCATGTCTCGAACAAAAATTGACATGTTTATCTCGTACTTGACCTTTCACGGTATCGAAATTCGATGATCATGTGAACAACTTGCGCCTAAATATGAATCAGTCTGTTCAAAAAACGAATGTCATCAATTCGAGAGCCTTCGATCACAACATTCATCTAGATGTTTTAATGCTTTTTAATAGGAAATGCACACAGATATTAATTGTATTTCATCATTATTGAAACAAAAATCAAAACAATAGCTTTATCAAAATAGACTCATACTACAATATGCATAAAAATTAATGTAGAGTCAATTATCATAGTACAAAATGTTTTCAAACAATATTTATTTGGTAATATAAATGTGATATATCATACATGATGATGTTGTTTAGGTTTTTTTTTTCTTAATTACTTCATCAAGACAACATTATACAAAAAAACTCACTTAAACAGCAAAAGAAAAAGGAAGTAACTACCTGATAGACATTTTCGTTCTGTTTTTCTTCTACAGAGTCATCTGAAGAAAGAAAAAACATGACGATGGTGTGTGTGATGTAATTTACTTTCTTTGGTCACCCTCTATGGGAGATATTTCATAATTTTATTCCATGAAATAGTGATGTTAATATTTACGTTGGTGTATCTTTTTGATCACCATTATCTTGTGTCAGTAATATTTTTTCAAAATTTAGTGGTTGTTACGATTCAAAAACGAACTGCGTTCATCGATTAGGTGATCTCATAATAAATAGAGCGACTTATGGTAAACTTGTAATTTCATTCTTGCTCTCTGTCGTATCAACATTCATATTTGGATAGGCTCCAAAACGGATGGTGATAATGACCAGCAAATAAAATGTGCATGTTCTACATGATCATCATTGAAGATAGCAGTGAACAACCATTTTCCTTTGAAATTACACTTTTGACTCCTATATCTGGCAATATTCTTTTATTGTTGAGTACTTTTGACGACAACTCATGCATATATAGTCCAGTTTTCTGATATAGACAAACGTAAGATATTTCATTGAATCGAATTCAGGTTGCATTTTTTGAGAAAATAGTAAAAATGAAGAAAACTAAAGATATCATTCTTCGTCCATTATCAATCTAGCTACACATGTATGTTGCGGTTTTGCTACTGAAAGACGTTTCCGTGTGAAACTATCATAGTGATAGTGAGTCTTCGGCTTGATATTTGCCATTCGACTCAAAAACCTACAATAAAAACGAAGCCAACTAAATGTTTATCTTTTGTTTACATAAAAACTGTCAATACTTATAAAAAAGAACACTCGGTATATGAAGTAACTGTCATTTATTTTTCTAACTAAATCTTATCTCAAATGTTCGATAAACGTTTAGCTTCATCAAAATACACACGAGCTTCTTGATCACGGTTGGATGCAACCAATTTTTTTCCTTCTTCCCAAAACAACTGAGATAAATCATTTTTTAGTTGAGCATACAACATATTTTCCACATTAAATACGCCTTTAAGTTTTGGTTCTTCGCCTAGTGCTTCTTTTGTTCTTTCAATATTGATGGTAAAAACGTAGACACTATGTATATTTTCCCTAGATGATACAAGTGCAAGTAGTTGGCGAGCAAATCTACCAGACATAATTGAAATCAGCTTCATATTGGGATTATTTTCAATATAATCATTGAACTTATCACAAGAATCGAAAAATTGCCATTTTGAAATGAGTCGCGAGATATTTTGACAATAAGATTTTATTTGTTGATGTTGACCATCTTCACAAATGTGACTATCAAGCCAACAGACTTCAAGAGTCTCTTGTAATGATGACGGTGTGCAAATATTTGTTGTGCAAGTAGATGCTTCTGTTGATGTGGCCATGCTTTCCTGCAAGCAGACAAAGAAAGAATGAAAAGCAAGCACAACTAAAAAATGTGCGTGTGTAAGAATAAAGCCCATTTTTTACAGCATGACTCATTCGTGTGCTGTCACTACCCATGTAGCCGATTTTATGAAATAATGGGCATTGCAATGCATTATTTTACAATAGAAATGCAATGGATGCAATTACATGATAATGCAACCTATTTCATGCATTATAATGCATTATTTTTAATTAATCCATTGCAATACATTGATTTATCAACGCATCATAATGCATTCTTTTTTTTAATAATGCATTATAATGCATTGAAAACTTCATATTTGGCACTTGCTATACAAGATTTATATAATCCTATTAAATCGATATCCTAATCACCATAATTGTATCTCTGTGGTTCTGCACATCTCTCTCCTTAACTTAACCTTTTAACCTTAATCTATCCCCTTAACTTAATCCTTTAACCATAATCTATTAACTTATCTATCCCCTTAACCTTAATCTATTAACTTATCCATCCCCTTAACCTAAATCTATTAACTTATCTATCCACTTACCCTTAATCTATGAACTTATCTATCCCCTTAACCTTAATCTATTAACTTATCTATATCTATCCCCTTAACCTTAATCTGTTAACTTATCTATATCTATTCCCTTAACCTTAATCTATTAACTTATCTATATCCATCCCCTTTGCCTTAATCTATCTCTCGAACTTAACTTAACCCCTTAACTTTCAGCAACCCTCTTATATATATCTATCCCATAATGTATCATTTTGATCATATCAGATAAGAATCTAAAACAAAAAGACAATTAATGAATAAATAAATTTATTATTATTAAATTCGAACTTACCATTTCGATCATCATCGATATCAACCTAAAACACAGGAAAAAGAAATAGAAATAATTTTAATATTGAATTGTAACTTACCATTTCGAGCAGATCGATAAGAGCCTAAAACAAAATATAATGAATAAATAATTTTATTATTATTGAATTCAAACTTACCCCTTGGATCATGTCCAATTGTAGTTGAAACTGAGAACAGTTCAAGAACGTATATATGACATAAGACTGTTTCAATAGTATTAAAATGGTTTCAGATTTGGAAAACAAAATGATTCATTATCTAATCGGTTATACTTGATACTGTGAGCAGTTTTAGTTCACCAGATACATCCGAAACTGAGCAATAACGAAGAGGGAAAACCTCTTGAGAGGTCTAAGACTGTGATCTCTTTCGTTCTACAGAATATTCTAAAAGCATTCAAAACTTTAGTAGCGTTTCGTTGCATCAAATAGAAACTCGAGATCGGATTTCGGTTCGTTGGTGCACATTTGCTCGATTGAGTAAACTCGGAAACTCTTCGGCTTGCCTTGGGAAATATTTTGGAACCTGAAAGGGTAATCTGATATACCTCATCAGATTTTGGCTCAAGTTTTCAATAGTGTAGGTTTCCTTGAATACCCTAGTGATTTCTAAAAATACGATTAGGTTTCCATTCTCAGGGAAAAGGGATTCGAAAAATACTCTGAGCGCTGTAACTCAGGTTACATTTTTTATTAGTTCTTTAACTTGCGCAACTCTTATTGAAAAGCACCTGATATACAGAAAGCTGCGTTAGATCAAATATCTACCTGTCAAATCACTTTTCAATATCTCTTTTATAGAAATGGTGAATTCTCTAATTTAAAAACATTACTCTAAATAATGCATTGAAATACATTGAATAATAATGCATTATCCTCAATTTCTACATTATACCTGATAATGCATTGAAATATATTGAATAATAATGCATTATCTTAAAATTCTCCATTATTTGGAATAATGCATTGTAATGCATTGTAATGCATTGAAATTTTGCTGCATTCTCAAGCCAATTTCGCATTATTAGAAATAATGCATTGAAATACATTGCATAATAATGCATTATTGGAATTTTCTACATTATTCTAAATAATGCATTACAATGCATTGAAAATTTAGGCATTATCCTTCATTTTCAGCATTATTAGAAATAATGCATTGAAATGCATTGAAAAGTCAAAAAATAATTAATTATAATGCATTAATTCATGTTTTTCTTCAAATAATGGAAAATAATGGATCATTTTCCATTATTCATCCATTATCGGCTACATGGGTATACAATTTAATCAAGGAAGAAAAATGGAAGACATCTGATATTGTGAAATACGGTTATTAGTGAACGTTGAATTATATAACGAGAAAAGTGCTCTAAATCATCACCTGTTGAGACCAGTGCTAAGCGAGTCCTAATGCACGATTAAAGTATCTTCATTCATATTCACGCATAAATCCTATAGGGGTTTGACCGAAAGCTTTTCATGACAGCTGTGTGTATTTGTACAATAATAATCTTTTTACATATTTAGATAATTTAATTGAATCGATAGATATAGGGCTATGCAAATCTAATTCAATATACTGACAGTTTTTATTCATGCAGTTTAAACAAAAAAGGATCAATTTTTATAAATTGAATGAGGTCATTGAGTTTCAAAGTTCTACTCAAACAATCAACATGTATAAGAAGGCAAGATTGTAGTAAACAAGCTTACCATCTAAGAGTAGAACTTGAATTGTGTTAACAGAAAATTTACGATAGACAGAAGGTAGTTTATTTAAGAAAATGAATGAGCAACTGACTGAAAGCTGTATTTATATATACATGTATATATACGTATGAATCATCCTATGAAAAAAAAACCCAGTTGAAAAGCGCAGATAATGCCGGTAAATTCCAAGGTAAGAAAAAATAAATTGAAAAATTCCGACATGTGCATGTGCAGATGTGTGTCTCTCGTTAATTCGCACCCTCATCCACATAGCCATAAGTTCATGGTGTGAATCGAGCTCGAAATGACCAATGTTCGAATCGACATCCACCACTATTCCCATAATCCCATGACTAGGAATGTCGTTAAGACGGGTACATTCAGTAGCTCCCCTACAAGATTTACTGAGTTCGTACATTTTCAGAAGAGAAGGACTTAAATGAACAAATGTGCTGTGTAACCAAGTCTTTGCGAAAAGCAAGGAGTAAAAAAGCATACTTCTATACTTCTGAAGTACTTTATAAGTATAGAGATATTTAAAGGTAGATAGGACAATTTTTGTTAGCTTAAGATATTTATTAAAAAGCAAAAATAAAGAAAACCAGAAGAAAATAAACAATATCGATTTTAGTATTTTCTGCTTGCTCCAGTAACACGAAAAAGACGATCATTTGATAAATGACTATTGGTATCAGTTAAGAGCCAAGATACTGATTGTTTATGTAAATATTGATTATTCTCATTTATCGTAATTTTGCAGTGTAGGTGTGAGTGTGATTGCCGTCAATGCTAGAGTCGACACCCACATCCTAATTTTTCTATTTATTATCAATCATAGATTATTTCGATTCATTTCGTATGTCAATTTTATATTATCTGTTTTATTACCATGCATTGATATTGTAATCTTTTATGAATATTAGTATTCGTTTCTGTTAGATGTTCAACATTGTTTTTTTTTATTTATTATTATAGTTCAAACAAGTAACAGTTCTCTTTCTACGTATGTGTTTTCTTGTTTTCTGTTAATTAGTATGAGAAAGAAAAATAACATGCCGTTTTTTTCTCTTTGAATATATTAGCGCTAAAAAAATTCTAATAAAAAGAGGACTGATACTTCATCTTCTACCATAAGTTCTACTTTCATTATTTGTTTATTATTATTTTTTAAATGAGAATCTATATGATAAAAACTGACTATGTTTCTCCTAATCCTTAAGTAAAAAAATTATCTAAACCATATAGGAACAAATATACATGTCGACAAGTATGGAAAAGTATCTAGAAGTACAAAGTATGCTTGTTTTCCCTTGATTCTAGCATAAACTCATGTACAATAACTAAATGCTCCAAGAGTCGGCCACAATTCAATCCTGATAATATTAATCAACTTATACTCATTCAACATCGACTGCAATTGACTCCCATCAGCGAATTTGAGTGACTAAGGAAAATAAGTTCTGTTTTGTGCCATTAAATCACAATTCATATCGGTTATATTGAATTCTAAATGAACAGGTTTGCAATCGACACACAAAGGAATCATGTTGATCATCGTCTGAGATGAATGGCTGTAGATAATGCGTTTGAATTGTTACCTAAGAAGATAATGTGAGTATACAAAAGATATTATCATGTTGGAATAAGAGGAAAAATATGATCGTAATTCGTAGCATAGTTTTCTATTATGGTGATTATAGATTTCTTCGGGATTTGTTTTGTGGTGATTCTATTATAACAGAGCAAATGCTCGATTTTGGACAAAAGATTTTTTGATAATATATATTTACAATAACATTGATTATATTATATACAGGTTGTATCTCCTTATGTATATATAAGATAGTATAATCTGCGTCTTAAATTTAAGAATGATGAATTAATATTATTATATTTGTTGCAGTGTATCTGATAATAAAAGCAACGTTTTATCTCAAACATGTGCTAGCCAACGTATATTTATCAGTATTTTAGTATCATTAGAAGATAACAAGAATGAAGCAAAGCTCTTCTATAGAGAATTTTTTACTATAATTTTGATACATAATATCAATTTCTTGCCTTATTTCCTATGAATGATAAATTTACATTAAAAAAAAATTGCTAAAACCAGAAGTAACTTAACAGGAAAAAGAGAACTACGACATTGAATTACAAGCCTACCGTAAGAATGTAATATTCTCCCTGTAATAATGATCTTTAGTTCTCACCGAGAATTTTTTTTCTCTTCTTGTGTCCATCATCAGAACTATAGTTGGCATATCTATAGTGCTGAATCACAAGTGTTTAATCTATTGAAGGACTTCCTTCGTTAGTGAATGACTTAAGTAATGACTGTCTCATTCGATCTTACTATTCAACCTCAGACGAATCTGGACAACTAATTATAATAATAGCCGAGAAGTT